TTAACTGAGTGGAGTCTGCAATTGGGGTTTGTTTGAGAAACAAGAGTTGCCAATCAAGCGGTAGCAGCTGGGTTTTCATAGCACTACGCCTCAAGTTCCATTCCTATGTACCTTGTCCCAATTTTTTTTTTGTTTTTACTCCCTGCCCCATCTGGTTTAGATTTGTTTTCTTTTTTAGAAATTAGAGGGAAAAGCATTTTTAACCAAAAAGATGGATGGTAAAAATGGAAAATGAGCCTGCCTAGGGGTGTATTCCTTGAAATGTGAGCATGACCAGACCTGGCATACTTATCAAGTAAAACGAGTTGTCTCAATGGCAATGAATCCATTGAGTTAATTTAAGAATTATTTTTGGAGTTGTTACTTTGCTAAGTTTTTCAAAGTAGTATTATTAATAGCTCTTACTTAATGCTGACAGTTGCTATATACTATAAGTTGGGTAGTTTAGACATCAACAATTGCTATTCTGTTTGGCTTTAAGCAACCTGGATTGTAATGTCCATGTTCTTGGTTCTTGAAAATTTGCCAATGACCTTATTAATGAATTGGGGGAATCACACTAAACCTTTTTCCTCAGCCAAATCATGCAAGTGTGTGCAGATTACACCCTTCACTAGCCCTTGATCTTTTGACCGCCTAGGCTGTACAGCCTGGATTAGGAATGTGATCGACTTTATTTCCTTTTCTGGTGATTTCTTACTTGATATTGAACTGTGTGGGAGTGACCAAGGTAGCCAATTGATTTGTTGGCTGTATAAATGGGAACACACTTGTCCCAGCCATATTATGAAACTTGTTTATCGAATTGGACCATCTCACAAAGCGGGAGAGTTCCAGTCTATGATATTTTTTTTTACCTTTCAAAAGGATATTGTTTCAACTGATGAAGGAGAAGACTTCCATCTTTTTGCTTAAGCAATTTGGAAATCGTAGTAACTCATGCATAGCTCCCAAATAAAATGTGATATTTATCAACGTATCTTTTGGACGTTTGTCTATGTATATTTTATTGAATTATCATTCCCGCTTATGCTGCATAAAAGTTACATTTATTTTCTGTTCTGTGATTTTTTAACATAGCAAACAACATTGATGAAAGCTCAAGCGGGGGTAAAGAACAACATGAGAAGATTGAACAAGAGTATTATTCAGCAAGGCTCAAAGCATGTTTTCCATGTTGTTCTATTTGCATTTATATGTTTCTTTGTGTTCTATCTCTTGTCCAAATTTTCCAGGATGATGACACATGGCGAGACACTATGAGACATTGCGAGACTTGTAAGGATATATACCGATTATAATTGTTTATTTTGTATAGCCGGATGTATACCGATTATAATTTTTTATTTTGTGTAACCACTTTTGCTCAATGACTTGTAATTATCCCCCGTTCTGATTTATGTTTTCGCACTCATATATCTTGAATTCAAGAGTAACACGCAAGTAGGGCTGCCACCGGGCCAGCGCAAGTCTGAAAATGTTTCGGCCTGGACCAAAAAATACGGCTCAAAACGCATTAGGAAGCCTCTTATTTATTTTAATCTCGCCGATCAAGCTTTTCTTGTTTGTAGTAATCCAAAAAAAATATGCGAAAATATTTTTTAGAAACCTTTTTTGGGTTCTTAGAGAGTTTAGAGAGAAAGAGAGATTGGGTTTTTAGGGTTTTAGAGAGAAAAAGAGATTGGGTTTTTAGTGCGAGGGAAATTGGGTTTTTAGTAAGAGAATGGGTTTTTTTTAGATAGAGAAAGAGAGAATGGGTTTTTAGAGAGAAGAAAAAGAGATTGGTTTTTTAGAGACAGATTGGGCTTTTTGAGAGAGAAAAAGATTGGGTTTTTAGAGAGAGAAAGAGATTGGGTTTTTAGAGTGAGAAAGAGAGATTGAGTTTGAAAAAGATATTGGGTTTTTAGAGTGAGAAAGAAAGATTGAGTTTGTAGAGAGAATGAGTTTTTAGAGAGAGAGAGAGATTGGGTATAGAGAAAGTGGGTTTTAGAGAGAGAGATTGGGTTTTTTGATAGAATAGGTTTTTAGAGAGCGAGATTGGTTTAGAGAGAGAATGGGCTGTTAGAGAGAGAGATATTGGTTTAGAGAGAATGAGAAATTGGGTTTTTAGAAAGAATGGGTTTTTAGATAATGAAAGAGAGATCGGGAGAAAGAATGGGTTTTAGAGAGATTGGATTTATAGAGAAAATGGATTTTTAGAGAGAGATTGGATTTTTAGAGAAAATGGATTTTTAGAGAGAGATTGAGTTTTAGGATAGAATGAGTTTTAGAGAGAGAGTGGTTATTAGAAAGAGAAAGAGATTGAGTTTTAGAGAGAATAGGTTTTGAGAGAAAAAAAAAGATGGGGTTAGAGATGGGTTTTTAGATAAGGAAAAAGTATATAAGAGGTTGCATCTTTATACTATTGAAGTAAGGTGCATCTAAAAAATCCTATACTGGAGAGTGTTATGGCTTAGGAGAATCCTCTTAGTAATCATCACGACCTTGAGATGAATGGACATGAAGTAAAAAAAAAATTTCAAGTAAAAAAAATAATGTATTTTGTAACAAGTTGTTTGGACCCTCTATTTTCAAAATCACGATTTTGAAATGAATGGACATGAAGTAAAACAAAAAAAATTTCAAGTCCAAAAAATAGTGCATTTTGTAACAAGTTATCTGGACCATCTATTTTCAAGATTTTCAAATGTTTTTAGTTCGATTTATACCATTTTAAAAATTTTAAATTTTTAAATTTTATAATCGAGGATAACAAGATATTTTGAAGCCATTATAAAGTTTTCGACCCCTAAATAACATCTCCACCTAAATTTTATAGGTGCACCTTACTTGTACAGCATAAGGAGACAACCTTATACAAATCTCACCCTTTAGAGAACGAGAATTGGTTTTAAATTGTTTAAAAAATATTTTAGCATCTATTTATTTTTAAAAAAAGTATTGAATGAGATTATTTACCTTTCGTACAAGATGGTCATAATTAATCTTGACCATTAGATATAAAAGTGGGTGGCTTCACATTTATTCCAATGACAAAGGTCAAACTTCAAAAGAAATTTTCCCAAACTCTGTGACACATCCAAGCTATCAAATTTCACATTAGATGGTTGTAAGTAATTGTCACTACCTTGTATCAAAGGTAAATGATCTCATTGTATATAATCTTTTGTTTTTGGTTTACTACAAACAAAAAAAGTATGAAGAGTGAAGATTTAAAGAAAAGGCATCTCAAAGGGCCAGGCCAAAAACTCCTGGCTTAAGTTTTTGGGCCATTTTTGCTAAGCTCGATGAAGGATAATTTTTGTGGCCCGGCCAGGATTTAGGCCCGAATCCTGGCCCAGGCCATTGGCAGCCCTGCATGCAAGTGCTGATGTTATTATTCAAAACTAAAGGATTGGCTTGCGGTGTTCCTTGATAGCCTTTAGAGTCTACATGTTGATTGGAAAATGGCTCAAACAGATGTATACTAAGGGCTCGTTTGCCTCCATGGGTTAACAAACTTAGGTTTTGGATCAAAACCTTGTTATCTCAAACCTGGATTATGTTAAAACTATTTGGATAGCTTTGAATGGCACGCTGGTTACGCAAATCTCATGTTTAGATACTTTTTTGTATAACTTGGTTTGCTATTGCACATTGAGAGAGAACATATCAAACTTGAGATTTTAAAATAATTTTTCTCTTTAAAAAAATTGAGATAGTTTTTCTCTCTAAAAAATTGAAATTTCAGATAGTTGACAATTTCACTCCAAAACTTTTGAAATAGTTTCTATCGCTAAAAATATGCAAGTAGTTTCTCTCTCTAAAGTTTGATATAGTTTCTCTCACTAAAATTACAATACTTTACCTCTCTAAAACTCAAATTTTTTAGAGATAGTTTCTTTAAAACTTTTGAGATAGTTTCTCTCTCTTAATTTTTTTTTAGGTAATTTCTCTTTCTAAAATTTGATATAGTATCACTCTCTAAAATTTTAAGATACTTTCTCTTTTTAAAACTTGAAATTTGATATAGTTTATCTCTCTAAAAATTTTGAAATAGTTTTTTCTCTAAAATTTTTTAGGTAGTTTTTCTTTCTAAAATTTGATATAGTTTCACCGTCTAAAATTATAAAATACTTTTTTTTTTTAAATTTGAAATTTGATATAGTTTTTTTCTCTAAAAATTTTGAGATAGTTCTCTCTCTAAATTTCGATATAGTTTCTCTTTCTAAACCTAAAATTTGATGCATAAGGGATGTTCTGGACACCACATGCACTGGTAATGGCGGGTGTGGCGATGCACCTACGCCGGCAACATCATATATCGTGGTGGCATGCTTCGTGCATTATGTGTACCTAAGCCACTTTCACCGTCTGGAAGTGGCACGCAGGTACCGTGGTGACATGGCTCGTGCATTTTGTGCCACTTTCACCGTGTGGGAATTTGTAGTGTTTTGAGCATGTATACGTAGTTGGACCGCCCGACTTGTAGCCCCATCATGCTGCACGGGTGGGTGGGATGTGCCCAATCACGACGTGCTTCCATGGTGAGTTTCGCTCTTGATCAGTGCTTTCTCACCCATGTTCACAACGCAAGATGCATCCGGCCGCACCGACCCCGTGCATTGCGTGGCCTCTTCCCGCACCCCACCCCGGTGCACGGGTGCCCGTCTCATCGACCCTTGTTGCCCCAAGAACTGTTCAGCCATGATGGTGCTACTACCATGACCGCCCTTAGCTGTGCTCGGCTTTCACCATGGCACCTTCGCTCCGCAATTACTCCTGCATGAGCAAGGCTCTGTGCGTGTATATATGTACATGTGGAAATAATTTTTTGAATGGCCCAGCACCTTAAAATGTAGTAGTACAGATATACCTCAAAAATCCATTAGTAAAGGTTGTTTTAATGTTGAAAAACAATCTAATTGATCATCGAGATGTATGAATACGAAAAAAGAAAAAAAAAAGATTTTGAATCTAAAAAATAGTGCATCTTGCAACACATTATCTGTATCATCCATTTTCAAGATTCTTATATGTTTAATAGATCTATTTGATTTAACCATTTTTTTAGTTTAAAATTTGATATGTACAAATAGATTTTTAGATAATCCTAAGAATTGTTTACACCAAAATTACATCTTATGACAAAGTTTGGGGTGCGCCTTAATTGGATTGTTTAATGTTGCAACCTTATAGAAACCACACCTTTTAAAGTATGGTATAGTATACAATAAGACGATCATTTACCTTTAGTACAAAGAGATCACAATTACTTATAAATACCCGATGTGAAATCTGATAGCTTGGATGAGTCGTAAAATTTGAGCAAATTCCTTTTGAACTTTGAGTTTGAGTTTGATCAATGCAATAAATACAGCCACCCAATCCACATCCAATGGTCAAGATTACTTGTGGCCACCTTATATCAATAGTAAATGGTCTCATCGTGCATTTGTATTTGAACAACATTGTGCAACTGCAGGCATGTACAAATGGTTTTTTCTTTATATATATATATATATATATATATATATATATTTATTGGGACTTATCTAGACTTGTCAAGGTATACAAACTTTAGACCATAAGCATTAGATACTCATGAAACATCCTCTAGCCTAGTCCCCCAATTTCACATGGATTCACGCATATATGATCTAGACCAATCGCCACCGTCCATTTACAATGCTTTGAATGCTCCTCGAATGTGTTTCCAAATGAGAAAAATGAACAGTATCCCATCCACATTATGTGCGTGGACGGATACAGAGGAAAGGTTGAGATTTCACAATGCCACATCCGATGGCCAAAAATCAATTTCAATATATATATATATATATTTTTTAAATATATTTCACTGAAATTTGAGGGTGGGTTTTTTTTTTGTTAAATATAACTAAATAAAAACACTAAAAGATAACTTAAATAAAAAAATAACTGAAATACTTGTAAATTTATTTTGATTAATCTTGACTAAGTTTTAATTGGATTTGGAGAATAATTTTGATTAAATTTTAATTAGATTTTGGCAGTTTGGAGAAGCCGATTATAAAAGCTACAATTTGGACTTGAAAAAACATGAGAGCTACAATTTCGACTTGGAAAAACATCTCTCTCTCTCTCTCACTACTATACCTGTTGTTCACAGAAGGTGAGACTGTGGGACGAGGCCACCCTAAAGGGCTACGCCCTTTCGACCCTTCCCTAACACCTCTCTCTCCTCCCTCCCTAAAAGCTCTTGGAGCCTCTCCTCTTTCTCTCTCTTCACCCAACAATACTCTCTCGCTCCTCCTCCCCCCATCGCCCCCACCCCATTTCTATACACAACCGCATGCACCACCCTCTCCATACTCCATCCCATCCACTCTCCCCCATAGAAGACTCTAGAACCTTCTCCACCCACGCCCCGAACCACCCC